TGAAAAAATTAAAGTTACTCCTAAATTTTTATATGAGAATTGAAGAACGTTTTTTTTGCTTAAAAATTACTTGTGTATACATATTTTAATTTACATATGCACGTGGTACATATTTATGTAATTTATTTTCACTTCGACTTTGCTTTTTATTTTGATTTTTGTATGTTGTTTAGTTACTATTTAAAGCACGCATACATATGTATGTGTACAGGGTGTCCCATACCACCCATCCGCCCCTTCTTAAATGGAGGCAAATGCTTTTTATTGAAAACGCAAAAATATGATCTACCAAGTCGGGAATGCTCCATTTTTTGGTCGTATAACGAACTTCCGGAAGTCCATTTTTTTAAATGGAATATGCATCCTTCTACAACAGATTCGGATTCTACGTAACTTTTGTAGGAAATTTTTTTCTGGAACGGATTTCCGGTCGATACCGGAAGTCGGTTATACGACCAAAAGAAAGTGCATCCCCGATTTGGTAGGCCATGTTTTTGCGCTTTCCGATAAAACAAAAAGACATTTTCCTCCATTTTAGAGGGGATGAACGGGAGGCCTAGGACACCCTGTATACAAATATTGAAGTTCTCACAAAATACTATACTCCATCTACTACTACTACTACTACTCCATCTTAAAATTATGTACATATAGCCTACCATGTATTGACTTAATATTAATTACTTTTTTATGAAAATATATGTAGTTCATTCCATGATAAAAACATTACAAGGTAAAATCTTTGAGAGGCAGTCTGGCGTATGCAAGCAATATAATTTTAAAACCAAAACTCAAACTCACACACACAATCTCATTTTCGATCTCAAACAACAACAATTCTGAACAATTCCATTTTTTTATTTTCAATTTTATATGATTTTAAAATGCTGTCAAACGTCAGAAAAAAATCATGGCCGACGAAGTGAGAGAATGATTTTACCTTCTAATGTTTTTATCATGGTTCATTCTATAATGAAATCCGTTTAACCTTCACCGCGGCACTAATTTACTTACATACATTTCTAGAAAAAAAGTCTAAAAAGCTCTATAACTTGATCAATTTGAATATAATAAGGCGCAAGTTTGAACTGGCTACCTATTACCGTATCAGTACAAAAAAATAAAAAAAAATTTAAATTAGAATACAAAATAAAAAAAATTAAATTAAATTAAATTAAATAAAGAAAAATAAAAAGCGAAAATTTGTCAATATGTGGCAGGTTATAATTTTTATACACTGCTTGCGTATCAACCAACAAAAAAACATACATACTTTCATTCAATTCAAGCGACGAACGCTTGTCTGTGCTCTCATCGCGCTCTCACCAACCCAGTCACAGATTCATTTTTGCCGACCCCCTGTTCTAGGACATTCACTATAGTGTTGCCGCCAGGGAGTGAAGAGGAAAAAATTTATTTCGCTTTGCGAATAACCGTGCTATGAAATGCCGCACAACTGGAGAATTTCAAGAACTTCTTCACGGATATAACACTTTCCTTAGGTTATTTAAAGCGGCAAATGACCACCAAACCATAATCTTAGCAGACGAATGTGCCAATGAGAATCGTAAACGTGAATTGTTGGTGAAAATGTTGGACCAAAAAGTTTCAATAAAATATATAAAAATTTTGGGCGGGACGAAGTTCGCCGGGTCTGCTAGTGTTTTATATTTTGATGTTGGTCAGAAACTGGGCTCGAACTCAGGCCCTGCGGCATGGTAGTCCACACTGCTAACCACTACACCAGAGTTTTTAGTTAGTAGTTGAAATCAAAGTTCCCAGTCAGCAAAAAATCCGAAAAGCGATCAGAAAACGGACAAAAATGTGGATGAAGTGCGGATTTTTGTCCTTGTACTGATTACATTTCCGGATACTTTGACGATCCGTTTCCCCACTAAAGTGTGCGGCAGAAACGTGTACAGACAACAGTATGCGAAACGGATACGTTTTCAAGTGCAAAACGATTTATTCATGCCCTCTTTTATTTGAATTCGACAGTTTAATACAATAAAGTACACAAAATATATACAACTTTTATTTGGGTATATTGTAAACTATACGTATTCAATTCAACTGTACGTATTCAATTATACCAGACCTGTTAAATAATGATTAATATTCATAATGATTATTAATTAAAGCCTGTTTTTTGGATAACTGTTTAATGACTAAATATTGATCTCGATGATTAATAATTAATGACGTAAAAAAATGTTAATTAACTAATTAATTTTAATTACATCATTATTTTGTTATTTTTGATCATTTTCAATTATTTTTGACTTGCTTTAATTACACGATTATAATTATTTGATTAATTTCTATTATTAATCATCGAGGCAAACTATAGACAAAAATTAAGAATATTTAATAACTGCTTGAATTATTTATTTATTGTATTCTTATCTGAATCTCAAATTTTAAATATTAATTATTACTTTTATAAAATTTTAAAAAGAAACGACTGAAAAGTCCCAAGTTAATGAATTTAATTTATTTGAATGAAACCTTTTATTTTTGTTTTCGTTCACACAAAAATGTACTTAAGTATTTATTTTACTTTTAACTAAAATGTTTTCTTTTGCATATTCAATATTATTAAAAAAGATAAAAATATAGTATTTATTGTGCCCAAAACCTTTTACTTTTAATAACACTTAATGAAAAATGCATTTAAATTTATGTTCGAAAATTTGAAATATTTATGTATTTATTTTTGCCTTTAATTAATATTCAAAAATTTAACACTTATTGGCAAATCTGAGGCTGCTAAATAAAAATGAGTAATATATTAAAGTGTACTTAATCAAAAGTTTTTTATTGTATATTCATGAATTCATTTTATTTTTTGACTCGCAAAGTATTTTTCTGTCTATTTTGAACTAGTATGAGACTGGTATAGTTCTGACCGAAATCTGACAATTGCCATCTCGTAGGATATCCCCATGTTAAAAATACCAGTTGATTGCATGGAAAAAAGATAGTTGGCTGACTAGTTGGGCATGCGGTTCATACTAGTTGTGAGGTAGTTTACAAATAGTACATTTGACTACAGGGCCCATAAGAGGCTACGTGAGCTTGAGGCGAGAAGTTTCCTTAACAATTGATATTTAAAATATAGGCTGTAACAACCTCATGAACTAGTTTGATGTTACATAGAAAGGTAAAAAATTTCAAATTTTCCAGGGTCTCAGTTAAATAATAACTATTTCTCTATTTACAATCTAGTCTTTACTTTATATACAAGTTGTAGTACCGACAAACAACGCAATTTATAAGAATGAAGCAAGAACCGTGAATATGTAAAGAACTATTCCTTTGCACATATCTTTCAAATTTAAAAAAAAATATTTGGTGTGCGGCTTAGGGCCGGTTGTTCAATGTCTGGTTATCACTACCTCCCAGTTAAACATCATTTTCGACGATTTCGACACCATGCATACAACATGTGATCGATAAAGCAGTCGTTGCATTTAACCGAAGCTTATACCTCCGATTTGTGTTAACGAGACATTGATTATCACTACCACTACACTATCGATGTTGTCGACATCATGCATGTAACATGTGATCGATATAGCAGTCGTTGTACTTAACCGGAGCTCCAGACCAAATTTGTCAAGGGAATACGGAAATTCGTTCCAAAATGCAAATTTGAGTTCAGCTCAATAAAAGAATTCACAGACAACACCACTCTGTAACTGCCAAAATGTACAAATCTGTACGAATGTACAAGTCGTGTGATCCCTGCTTAAAAGCTGTCAATTGCGGCCATTTGGCTACTTAGCACACCAGATATTCAGTTATGTTCCTTAAACCCCTTATTTTTTGTAAAATGGTATCCAATTTTTCCTTGATTTTTTGCCCAAATTCACCCTGCACACCTTAAATAGTAGTAACAGCAGTCTCCACAATATGCACTTGTTCAGCCAATGATTTTTTTTCCTTTTAATTTAGTTATTAAGTATTTCCGACAAGAAGCTGTAGTTTGCATTGATATAGGCTAAACGTGCTTCAATCGAATTTGAAGCTATTGATGTTTTCGCCTTCAATATTGAAGAGGCGTCAATATTATTTATATCTTCAATAAAGATTTGAAATTCCTTAAAACTTAGGCAGTTGTATTTTGCCGCCTATAACCAGGTTCCCCACATCGTTAATATTGGCTCTGGCGAAAGAGCGATATTGGGATGCATATACTTAAAAGTTTCAACGCGCAAAACAGATTTAAAAATATTTTTTCCCATTCGATATTAAATCGTCAATATCACTGAAACGAGCTGCGGCCACTCGCTGCATTGCGAGAAAAACACGTAACACGTAACTTTGGGTAAAATACCTTCAGCGTCGTTGCTGATTACACCATATCGAGCCCTAACCGCCAAAAAAGCGTAAGCGACATATTTTTTTTAGGCAGAAATGCCTGTAGAGCATCTAGATGCAATTCTGCATCAAAAAGAAAATGTTGAAAAAATGTATATGGCGCTGCGGCTGTGACATTAAAATAACTTTCGACGAAATCATTACACAATAGTTGCATGGAATCATCAAATGCTCTTGCAATTGTGGAGTGATTCGTCCGTTCTAGACAAACGGCGTTTACTAAAAAATGCAATTAAATATGCTTTTTAGATAAAATATGCCTATATATGCATTTAAGGCAAAATATATAAGAATATGAACTAACAAATCGATGTCATATTAGCACAAAACTCTTGATTCGCAACATTTGTTAATCTTTAAGTTCCTATGACTTACTAATAAAAATATGTAACTGCATAGAAAACCGGGCCCTAGTTATGTCATATACATATAAGAACACGGCCTAATTTTATTTATTTATTTATTTATTTATTTATTGAGTCTATGAACATACAAAAGTTCCTTACAGAATAGTTAACAAAATTCAACTTAATTGGTAATTAAAGAAATAAAATTTATAAAATTGAGTTCAACAGATTTTTGAAAACATTTATCGAACAAGAAAAATCAATAATTACATTTTTAGAGATCATATTGAATTCATTAATTGCGCGTGCAATAGGGGCATTACGTGCATATTCTGTTTTGTGATTATCCCCATAAAATGGGGGAAAAAATCGTAAGCTACACCGAGGAATGTTGAAATTAATTTTCTCTAAAAGAATGGGGCAGTCTGTAGCACCAATAATAATATTAAACGTAAAAGACAAAGAGAGAACAGATCTTCTTATCTCCAAAGACTTAAGATTTATTAATAGTAAGCGAGAACTATAAGATGGTAATGGTTCGGAAAAATTTAAGTTGCGCAAAGCGAACTTTAGGAAGACTTTTTGAACACGTTCAATTCGATTTATCATGTTTTTATGGAAAGGCCTCCAAATAATTGCAGCATATTCTAAATTAGAGCGAACAAAAGACGTAAACAACAATTTGAGGGTATATGGGTCAGAAAAACTTTTGCTATTTCGCCTCACAAATCCAAGCATTGCGTAAGCTTTTGCAACAATATGACAAATATGGCTATTAAAAGAAAAATTTGAAGAAAAAATTACGCCAAGGTCTTTGATCTCGTTAACAGAATTTAATATTGTAGTAGATATACTATAAGACGTAGCCACGATATTGCAAATTTTTGCATAGGTGACTTTAAAACATTTTTTAACATTCAGAGAAAGACAATATTTAGTGCACCAACGATGCAGATTATCAATTTCAGCTTGAAACTTTGTCGCATCAGATGAGCTCTTTATGATCGAAAATATTTTTAAATCATCTGCATATAGCAAAAAATTTGCAAAAGTGAAGCAAGTACTTACATCATTTATGAATAAAACAAAAAGCAATGGACCTAATATACTCCCCTGAGGAACCCCAGAGGAGGCTATAAAAGGTTCTGAAGTTGTTCCATCTATGGTGACAACACATCGTCTGTTACTTAAATAAGACTTAATCCAACGCAAAAAGTCGGAATGAAAACCTAAACATGCTAACTTCCTAACTAATATCGAGTGTGAAACTTTATCAAAAGCCTTCGAGAAATCTGTGTAAACACAATCAACTTGATATCCACTTGAAAAAGATGCAATGCAGTACTCAGTAAAAACAGTTAGATTAGAGACTGTTGAGCGACTAGACACAAAGCCATGCTGATTGGGTGAAATTAAGCCCTTAGTTGCAAAATACATTTTTTCTACTACAATACTTTCAAAGAGTTTTGACACCAAAGACAACTTTGATATTGCCCGATAATTACATACGTCACTTTTATTCCCACTCTTAAAAAGAGGGTCAATAGAAGTCATCTTCCAATCATCAATAAATACCCCAGAAGCTAGTGATTTATTAAATATCAGTTTCAATGGGAAAATTAAAGAGGGAGAGTTTCTCAATAATACACCTGCCAAACCATCAATATCAGTTTTTACAGACGGTTTCAGTTTGGAAATGCCACTCGCAACGTCATTAGACGACAAACTTAAAGACCCAAAATTAAGAGAAGAAGTCGCCGCAAAATCACAATCTGGTTGGGAAGCGCCGTCATCAGAACTAAAGTTAGAGCTGAAGAATTCCGCAAACAGGCATGCCACATCAACTGGACATCGAGCAAATTTGTCATGAAAGAAAACAGCAGAAGGTATGCCGGAACTAGATTTCTTCGACTTAATAAACTGCCAAAAAGTCTTCGGGTTAGATTTTATATTTGATTCAACATTAAGTATGTAATTTCTATAAAGGAATTTATCTAAACAATTAAATTTCTTTAGATGTTTTTGATATTGAGAAAAGAAGATCTGGTTTCCCGTTTTCTTGAACTTTTTAAAGAATTTATTCTTTAGATTCTTTAACCGTTTTAATTCGTAATTATACCAAGGTAGCTTATAACTCCTTTTTTTAATAACTGGTATATTACTTACACAAAACTGATGCACGATAGTTTTAAAAGTAGTAAAACAAGTAGACACATCGGGGCTAGCCAAAACACATTCCCAATCAATATCAGATAGTAAACTATTTAATTCTGAAAAATTACAAGCAGAATAGTTAAAGCTGAGTACTTCTGCAGAAGGTATAGTAAAAAAATTATAAAACTGAAAATTGAGAACTAAAGGCACATGATGCTTATCACAACGAGAGATAGGAAAGTAACATTCCTCGATTTTACAGTTAATATTGTCGCTAATAAAGATAAGATCAAGAATACGATCCAATTTATTAACAAAATTATTAATTTGCACTAAATTGAAACTTAATAAACTATCAAGCAAATATGATTCATGATATGCTGTAACATTAGTTGGTGTGAGGCCAAAATTAGAAAATGAAGCGGACCATGAAATATTGGATAAATTGAAGTCACCTAAAATGCATAAATGATTATTACCTAATTTATTCAGGACTAAAGAGCTTATGTTATCAGCGTGCGCACGATAAAGATAATCATTACTATTTGGGGGAATATAAGAGACCAAAAAGAAAAGAGAGTCCTTGGAGGAGGAACCACTGACACATATACAAATTTGATCAATAAGTGAGTCATTATTATCAAGAGCAACAAAATAAGAAAGCAGCTTCCGTTGAACTGCAACAAGAACTCCTCCACCTCTTACACAGCCAGTTTTTACCGGATCTCTATCTTTTCGATAAACATTGAACAGTTTCGAATCAAAAAATTCATCATCAAGAAAATTCGGATGTAACCACGTCTCAACAATGACGAAGATATCATAATCCAATTGAGAGCTAAATATACGAACATCTTCTGACTTAGTTCGAAGGCCAGATATATTCTGAAAATACACCTTCAAATTCGAACTTCCACTAGTAGCCTTATTATTATTTATATTACTCGCTGCTGATTCTCTTCTTTTCGAAAAAAACGAAAAGGGCGCAGACTTACATTGGCAGGCCAGATATCAGGTGATAGCACCTTATTGTAAAGCGCAACAGATACACCTAACTTAAAATTAACCCGCTTTACATTCACAGCCGGAGTTTGTTTTTTAACTAATGAATAACATGAAATAAATTTCTTATCTATACCAGCATGCCTAACAACATAGTCAATTATATTGTCCGCGGTTACAGTGGGAAGGAACGACGATAAGTGAAACCATTTCTTTACTTCAACCACTTCCAAATCAGAATTAGAGCTATTACCAGTAATAATCAAATGTTTGCGTTTTTTGTTGTTCTCTACAATTTTCCAATCAGCTGCAGAAGTATGCATGCCAGCAGAAACTGAGGACGAAGATGACGTAGACGAAAGTGCAGAAGTAGCATAAGTCGAAGAGGTAGATGCAGTCGTATTATCACCAACAACAGCTTGAGAACTGCATTGCTTTGGAAGAGTATTCTCAGTCTGAGAACTGACTTTAGCAGGTAGCTGAGTGTTAGCAGCATTAGAATCATCATCAGTTGGTACGGTCGGTGCTTTTGTCACGAAATTCGTACGAGCCAACAAGGGCTTATCAGCAACAACAGCAAGCATAGATGAGCGATGGTCGGCAGAAAAAGCCGAATCATCCAAAGCAGTGACACCAGGCGACAGCACACCTGCATCAGCAGACAAGACGAAGCCAGGCGCAGCACTAACAATTTTACATTCGCCACTTATCAATTTTGCTATCGATCGTTTAAGATCACTGACCTCACTGGTAAGGCAAGCAATAGCCGAAACTAAATTCGATGTTGAGCTAAAGCAATTGTTGCAATTGAAAACAATGTTTTTATTATTTGCAAGTAAGTCGGATACTTCTTTGCTATCAACTTTAGCACAAATTTTATGAAATTTACTTTTGCACACTTGGCATGATATTTCATAGCCAACACGTAAAGATTTCGAGCACTTAGAGCACGTTAAAATATCCATAGCGAGAGCTAAATAAAAACACGTCTAAACACTATGACGATTAGATCAATCGCACCACGCCCACCTTGACCGCCCATACAACAATATTTATAGCTTTTTTTATTCTGGATAAAAACTGAGCAAGTTATAAATAAATACTATGTTTATTAGATTTTATGCATAAATTTAGCATATATGTATGTATGTACATTAGAGTGGTCCAAGAAATCCCTCTTGTGTTCTCTTTGCTAAAAAATTAAAGTACATAACTTGGTTAAAAATATAATAATAAAATTTAGAGGTCGCTCAAGTCCATTTTAATTGTGCTTAAAGCTACTCGTCCTTCAATTCGTGCGCACACGAATTCGCTCAGGTAATTTAAGTCTTATAAGATCTTATAATATGCTCTCGAGGCCGCTGAAGATAATAGGAAAGTTATATTTTCGAAAAAAAATTTCAAAAAAATTTCGAAATTTTACTTTAAAAGTTGATTATTTGTTAGGAAAAATGTACTTGATTTTATGTCAGTAATGATATTTATAGCCACATTTTTAGCAAACAAAATCAGTCATAGCAGAGAATTTTACGTTCATAACTTCTCGAGATATCGGCAAATTTTTGAACCTGAATTTAGATGCGTGGCAAATACCTGCATTTAGAAAAAGTACCGCTTTAAATTTTTGGCATTTGGAAGATATTTTGTAGTTACAAGTATCTGATATTTTCAAGGTCACTACGCCTCGAGATATTGAGAAATATTAAAAAAACGTAAAAAAATAAAAAAATATTTCTCGATTCCTGAAGAGATATATATTTACTTTAGTAACCTCAATGGTGCTTATGTCGTATCCATTCTTATGCAAATTTAAATTTTTTGAATACAAACACTTTTTTTAATAATTTTACATTTGGTTAACTTGATAATTCAAGTAGTAAGAATTAATAGTTTTGTTCTTTTTTTCTTTTTCAGACAGTTAGAAATAATGTTTAAGACCCCTCCCACCTAAACCGAATTGGAGAACAGCTGCTTCGCTCAAAGTAGCATTCGACCGGCGGAACCAAAGCTTCTTTAATTTAAGATTTCTTGCAATTTGTTTTAATATTGGAAAATAAAATATTAACTAATTTAATAATACATTTGTTTGCAAATTAATAATCTCAAATAAAGCTTATTTCAGTCATTAATTCACTGCCATTAATCTTATCTGCTGCAGTCCTTATTAAATTAATTACAAACTTAGAGAATTAACATTTTGTGTATATAATGGACTTGAGTGACCTTTTAAATTTTTTATTTTTATTAAAAGAAACACAAGTTGTTTCTCAACATTTGAGACGAAGCAAAAAAACTAGTTCAGCGCACTCAGTGACCTTGAAAATATCAGATAACAGCTCAAAAAGTCTAGCAAAGGCCGAAAATTTAAAGCGGTATCCGCAACGCATCTAGATTAAAGTTCAATAATTTGCCGATATCTCGAGAAGTTATGAACGTCAAATTCTCTGCTATGACTCATTTTGTTTGCTAAAAATGTGACTATAAATATCATTACTGACATAAAATCAAATACTTTTTTTCTTAGAAATAATCAACTTTTAAATCGAAATCTCGGAATTTTTTCTCGTTTTTTTTTAATTATTTTCGGAATATCTAATCTGATCTGATTTCTGATCGAAAAAATAACTTTCCAATTATATTCAATTTCCTGAGGGATTTCGCGGTCGCACGAATTGAAGGGCGAGTAGCTTTAAGTAAAATTAACATGGACTTGAGCGACCTGTAAATTTTATTATTTTTTTGAAACCAAGTTATGTACTTTCATTCTTTAGCAAAAGGAACACAAATTTTCATAAGGACTGAATAATATTAAAAAGAAGGATTTCTTGGACCACTCTAATGTACATGGATAAGTGCATATAACTTTAAATCATTCAAAATCTCTATTGCATTTTGATAAACATCTTTTAATATGAGTAACATTATTTTTTACTTGTTGGTTTATACCTTGAATTTTGGTTTTATGTTATGTTATTTTTTGGAACACCGAATTGCAAATTGCATCGATTTTGTTCCCATTTGCAATCCAAATTTCCAACATTTCAGAATCGCTGAGCTGTAGGTTAACTGACAGAAATCACAAAATTTTCAAAAGCGGACAAAAACGAGCAAAAAAGGTGTTACCAATATATTCTACTTACCTTGCTATTTATTATTCATGCTAGATATGTTTTTATTGATAGTAAAAATATTAATTTCTCACCACTTAAAGTTCACAACACATAGACAAATGAACATAGAGTTACAATTGAAGTGATAGAAAATCTGACTTCATGGCTTCACAAAAAACAAGGTTTGCTAGCTAAATTTGTTAATTAAAGTTTTCAGGTACTTTGGAGTGTGGGATATTAGAAAACCCATGACTGATAGGTTTTTATTGCTTTATACACTTTAGTTAATAATTTAGCATCATTAGATTCGTGCACCAGCGTGCATTTATATAACTTTAACACTACGACAAACAAACACATTCATGTTTTTTTCCTATGAAATACCTCCTCAAAAAACAGCGACAATAAACTTACAAACATAAGCAAAGGTGTTACAAATATATTCTACTTACCTTGCTATTTATTAGTCATGCTATATATGTTGTTATTAATAGTGAAAATATTAATTTCTCACCACCTAAAGTGCACAAAACATAGACAAATGAACAAAAAACAAGGGTTGCTAGCTAAATTTGTTAATTAAAGTTTTCAGGTACTTTGGAGTGTGGGATATTAGAAAACCTATGACTGTGTTAAACAATTTTGAAAACAAATGTGTTAATGCCAAACATTTTTGATATGGGACCAGTGTGCGCTGTTAGAAAAACTGTTTCCCATTGTTAGGACCAATGATTGAACCTAGGTTTTACCGAGTGGTAGTACGTACCTCTAACCACTCGGAAAAAAAGAAATATTTGATTGACATCGGCAGCATCCAATAAATAAATTTAAGTAAGAATTAACTTAACGTTGAAAAAATCTACTAAATTAATTTAAGTAATAATTATCTTAACGGAAAAAAATCTACTATATCAAATAAACACACTACTTAAGTTAATTGTTACAAAATTCCCTTTACATATACATATTAGGTTTCCACAATCCTCAACTCAGGAGATGCAGGACACGTCAATTCCACCGACGAAACCGCAACAGCAACAAACCACTACGCAATCATTAGCAACGCCATTACAAAATAACATCAATCGTAAACTGAATGGATTTCTTAATTTAAAAACTCCATTGATTGGGTGAGTCTATTACATTTTAATATGCATATCTACAATCAGCCCTTTATCGTTATCGTCGTAGATCTTAAACCAAGGACCGTAACGGTTATAACTTTTATTATAAAAATCGCTTTTTAATCGTCATTAACTGAGTTTTATTTTTTGACCAAAACATAACGATTATTTTTTTAGTTTTATTTTTTACTCAGAAAATAAATAATCGTTATGTTTTGAGTTTTATTTTTTGCTCGAAAAATAATCGTTACGTTTTAAGTTTTATTTTTTGCTCAGAAAATAATGGTTACATTTTAAGTTTTATTTTTTGATCGGAAAATAATCATTACGTTTTGAGTTTTATTTTTTGCTCGGAAAATAATGGTTACGTTTAAAGTTTTATTTTTTGCTCGGAAAATAATCGTTACATTTTAAGTTTTATTTTTTGCTCGAAAAATAATCGTTACGTTTTAAGTTTTATTTCTTGCTCGGAAAATAATCGTTATTTCATGAGCTTTATTTTTTGCTCAGAAAATAAAACTTAATTTTTGCGTATGCCTATGTGCATGCGTGAATAGACAGGGGGCAGCTGCATTGAGTTTTTAACTCCACTGTGGAGTGGGTAATAAAAATACGGAGAGCAAGGTAAGGGACAGGAACAAAGACAAGGGCAACGACAAAACCACAGACACTCACAACCTATATTGAAGGATCAAGCCAATGATAGAGATGAAGAACAGGACAAAGTTACAGATAAATAAAAAGACAAGAATAAAGATAATGATGAAGATGAAGATGAAGATGAAGATGAAGGTACATGTAGTTTTGAAATGAAGCCCTTTCAAAACCATTTCGACTGATACTCATATTGATATAAATCATTTAAATTATTGAATAGTTTGAATTTAACCTTTTAAATAGTTGGCAACCTTTTAAAACCCCTTTCGTCTGACACTCATACTGTGATCTAATATACTAATATACATTTTTAAAACGGTTTTTTTTTGAGTTCGCAAAGCTCGAGAACAGCCGAACCGATTTTTTTTTTTAAATTTCGGCCAAAAAAATGTTTGATATATAAAGGGGGCGTGANCTTTTAAATAGTTGGCAACCTTTTAAAACCCCTTTCGTCTGACACTCATACTGTGATCTAATATACTAATATACATTTTTAAAACGGTTTTTTTTTGAGTTCGCAAAGCTCGAGAACAGCCGAACCGATTTTTTTTTTTTTAAATTTCGGCCAAAAAAATGTTTGATATATAAAGGGGGCGTGACACTTCCCATACAAACCGAATATTTCATACCGAATATCTCTGGAAATGTTCATGGTAGAGTACTGGAACTTCGTGTGGAGATATATGAATTAATCTTCTACTCATGGAGAAAAATGGCGTGGCGCCATACAAACGTATATATAATTCATCTGTAGGTATGTTTGTGAGTGAAATCCACCTAAATGCTCGCACGTATTTTTGTGTGTTTTTGAGTAACTCTCTGGATAGTGTAGTTTCACAAATTCACCCGCCAATACGAATAATCGCCAAGTTAGAAGAGGTGCCGTGAATTTCCGATTAAATCGACTTGTTACACCATTGAGTGTTTCGAACTCTTGTGTGCTACGATTGGCCCAATGGATGTGATTTTTGCCAGTATTGTTATGCGTTAAAGCTTCATTCGTAGACACCAGCGTTGAGTTGTGCAGGGGTAAATGTCAAATTATCACCGATAAATCAACCGTCAGATCCACAGTGCGCCTTTTACTGTAATAAATTCAAATAAAAAATAAGTTTTTACTTAAACTGCTTTCGTGAAACTTACTTTTAAGGTATTTCTGAAATAAGTCTGTGTATATTGGATTGCTGTAGAACAATTATACGAATCCATTTTAAATTGCCACCAACTATATTCTAAAGTTTCTGGGACAGATTCACTATAGAATCGGATTATTGTTGCCGCCAGGGAGTGAAGAGGAAATGTTCTTCACATTTATTTCGTTGTGAGATTAACCGTTTTATGAAATGCTGCACATTTAGAGAATTTCATGAACTTCTTCACGACATTAACGCTTTTGTTAGGTTATTTAAGCGGCAAACGACCACTAAACCATAATCTTAGCCGATGAGCGTGCCAATGGAAATCGTAAACGTGAATTGTTGGTGAAAATATTGGACTAAAAAGTTCCAATAAAAAAATAATAACTTTGGGCGGGACGAAGTTCGCCGGGTCTGCTAGTATTATAATCAGGGACCGTAACAGTTACAACTCTTATTAAAAAAATCACTCTTTAACAATTATTTTTTGACTTTTATTTAATTACTCTTTAAATAACCGTTATATCGGACTTTTATTTTATAAATCGAAAATAACAATTATTTTTGATTTTTATTTAAATAATCTGCAAATAAAAGTTATTTTTGATTTTTAAATTTTATGTCTTAAATAACAGTTATCGAAGACTTTTATTTATAAAAGTCATAAATAAAAATCAGTCACTGATCTTTATTTTTTCAATCATACTTATAAAAGTCATTTGAATAAGTCGTAGTAAACTTTTGTTTTCCAACACCTTCTTAACAGCGAAAATGACTTAATGACTTTTATATGATTGATTTAAAAAATAAACGTCGGTCACTGATTTATATTAATGACTTTTAAAAGTAAAAGTCACTGACTGATTTTTATTGATGACTTTTATAAATAAAACTCTTCAATAACTGTTATCTAAGCCATATAATATAAAAATCAAAAATAATTGTTATTTTGGACTTATGATATAAAAATCAAATATAATTATTTTTTAAATTTTGCATAAAAATATGCAAATTAAAAAATGCAATTTTATTATGAAATTTGAGTCTCGGTGCAAAACGAAATCGATTGGTATGTTTCACTTAGTTGTTTAGCTGGTTTCCTTCATAGTGAACTTTTCCATGACAGTTTTCATCAATAACTGTTATGTTCGGTCCCTGATTATAATATTTCCTTTAAACTAATTTTATTGAATTTTTAAAAAGGTGGCAACCCTTGTGAAAAACTTCAATATCATTCAAAATTTTAAAACTAAAGGTTTCTTAACAATATTTCGTTTGACAGCCTTATTTTAACTCTTCAGATAGCTTGCGTAAAATTAATTTAAATTAGACTTTGCAAACAGGTGGCAACCCTTTAAACGATATATTCAAACGACAGAATATTTAAGTCTCTTGGCATCCACATTTTAATATAATTTTTAAATAAAAAACTCCCTCAATTGAAGTTGAATTTGATTTTTTTAAAAGGTGGCAGCCCTCATACATGAGTGAATAATGATTTTGTATATCCCCATACCAAGTTCCAGTAATCTACCAAAAATATTTCCTGAGAAATGCTGTATGAAAAATTCCGTTTGTATGGGAGGTGCCACGCTCCCTTGTCTAATCGAAATTAAATGTATCCTATATTTTAAGTTGGGCTAAATGACAGGAGTGTACAAAATTTCGTGATGATCGGTTGAGTAGTTAAAGCGTGAAAGCGTAGCAAACAAAAAACTCACTTTCGGATTTATAATATTAGTAAAGATAAAGATTCTCGAGGGGGTGTGTTGTATATACTTGTTGTATTCTACCTTCATGCGAACAAATTTATATACATAGCTTTGAATATTCTTTTGTATAGTGTTTTATGAAATGTTAAAAATTTTCACTTACTTCACAAAGCTCTTTCAATAAAGAACACTCTGCTAAAATATATACGTTAGGGTGGATATAGTTGAAATTTGTATGCTCTCACCCGATAGGATTGTTCTGTTTTTTTTGTTTATCAAAAAGTAGATAGTCTATTGTGCGTGGCCCTTTACCTTATACTTGAAGGATTTTATACAGGCTAGCTTTTCGTTCCATATTTGGAATGGATCAAGTGTTACACTACCTAGGTCAGCAACTCTGTGTCTAGCGAGAGCAACATATTCACAAAGGATGTATTCTGGCGTTTCTTCGTCCATCTCACAACACCAATAGACGCTCGTGTATGAAAGATTCATTTTACTGTGGTGATAGCGCAAGGTACAATGTCCCGTGAACTACCCAGTGAGAGTTCGAAGGTCCTGCCTGCTTAAATGTATTAGCTTTTTTGAAGCTTCTTGTGAGCGACAGGTAGGGTGGCCAGATATTATACGGACATAATCAGTACAGTTGGGATCAAAAATCAGTACAGAGCCATAAAAATCAGCTCATTTTTAAGCGTATTTTTTATTATTAACAATACAGCAACCAAATAACAGCGCATTAATTAAAAAAAAATAACTAATAGACTTTTAAATACGTATAGTATTATAAATACAAAAATTTATTACTTTAAAGCAAATCAATGGTATTACGTATGTATCTACAGCTGTGCTCAGGAAAATAGTAGTAAAATGTATTGACAGGTTTTTTAAAATTTTTTCTTTCCTTACTTAATTTAATTTTTTTATAAAAATATAGTTAATTCTATAACAAAAGACATGTGAGTTGAAGTCTCAAACTTTCTAGAAAATTTATTAGAATTGAGAAAATAAAAAAAATTTGTAGCCCATTCAGTTTCAGTAGAAGACGAGCTCGAGTCAGTTATAGCAGCTATTTCGGAGATCACCACATCTCCTCATCAGACTTCTTTTTTCTAGGCTTCAGCGGGGACTACCGCTTAGGCTTTGTTGCTTTTTCAATTTTTCCTAATAAACAATCGTGGTACAAAGCTCAATAAAAATATTAAAAATAAAATGTTAATAAGCCACAATAACATTGATAAAACATATTTAGTTGGTGTGCTTATTAAATACAACATTCACATTAAAATGTAGACTAAAAGGTATATTACCGAATTATCGCTAAAAATAAAGTAAAATTACAGGTGGTCGAACATCAAAAATTAAAGTAAAGCTACATATATCATATCCAAGAGTGGGTAGTTTGCACCTTTTCCAAATTTTTAGAACTTACATTGCACCGTAGCAGTAGTCGTCTTAAGTTTGAAATACTGACAGCCGATTTCTCAGTGGATGTTTAATT